AATCATGATCATTGTCAGCTGTATGTAGTTATGTCTGTCAATGTAGAATAATCTGGGCATCATCTTCAGTATACCACCACCACAACTGCTGGGCAACTGCAACCAAACTTCATTTGTTCATTTAAGCATCCATCATTTCTGTTTCAAACAGATGAATGTGGCAGTTTAGGCATCTGTAGTCATTTCTGCTCTGGTTGTTGGCAGTTTTCATGGCCTCACCACATGTTCTTGGTCTAAATAACGATGGTACACTGCATCACAGCTGCTCAGAACGTGGCAGCTATCCGGCGCGGTGCTGTGTGTGGGAGTTGTTGAGCAGCAGACTTCTGTCTGGGAATCACAGATGTGACTGTGATAATGAAAAATGTATTGCAGCTAAAAGCCATGTCTGGGATGAGTGTTGCCAGAATGTGCCTCACACTTAAAACATTTAGTGTTTCTTCATTTGTAAAAAAATAAAAAATATCCAGGAATGAATACAGCGTTGACAACAAAATTAACTTGATGTGCAAATCCTGGAAATCCAAGATTTTTGTAAAGAGTTTCTGCTTCCATACATACAGCTGTTGGAGGAATTGTACAGACAGTCATTTTCCTCTGGGCCTGAGGTCTCCTGACTTCTACAGTTCTATTTTCCAAGTTGTTCCAAAAGTTTAATCTGGATTAAACCAAATCGGAATGATCTGGATTTCATATTCCCATGTTTTGCTTTACATGATTTGGAAAATGGATCTTACTTTTGAACTGGTTTTTCACTCACTGTGTTCAGATTCAAACATTTTAAGATGAAATCTGTACTACCAGCTCTAAATGCTATGATATATTCCAATGTAGGAAACTAGCTGTATGAGGAAAAACAGACAAACAGTGGGTGGTTTTATCTGAAATAACTTTGGTTGAGTTTTTCTTTGTTTAGAGACCAAGTTTTGAAAGCTCTCTTTTAGGAGACAAAGTCACACAATCATGACTTTTAATTAATATACAGCAATAACTGACAGTTAAGATTGAATATATTATTGTTATTTGGTACTGACAGCTGATTGAGGGATTATTTAATGGGGACAAATTTGTTGTTTCTATCTTTTCTGTACCGAAAGGTTTAATAGGTAGCCTGAGTATAATGTCTGCTTTACTTTTTCACTGTAAAACAAGTGCAAGTATACAACAAACTAATATATATTCAGTGCATGATCTACATGTTGTGCTATTTGAACGATTTTACATTTTTAGGTCGTATTTCTTTAAAGTTTTAAAAAAACAAACAAACAAACATGGTGAACATTATATCTGCTAAACATGTTATCTTTGCCACTGCGAGCATGTTAGCAGTACTAGCTGCTGTCCTCATAGAGCTGCTACCATAGCTTAAGTCTCGCACTGCTGTTTTCCCCTTCATCTGGTCAGAAGGGAGAAACAAATCTTTTATCGGCCTTTGGTGGTCAGTATCTAATAGTTGTTGAAAAGAAAAATGGCCTCACTGTTAATTGTTTTGTGTTGCAGAAATTTGGCCGTCGGCATTGGCATCCAGAATTTCCCAGAAGGCTTGGCAGTGAGCCTACCGCTCCGAGGTTCAGGGGTCTCAACATGGACGGCCTTTTGGTAGGGAAGGACACAAGCCTGTTTCGAAACACTGTGCCACAGAGTACAACAATTAAAGATCTCTTTGCAAAAGCTTGGCCTGAGTACCCATACAGATGTGGAAAAAAAGTTTACATACAATTTTAAAAACTATGCGCATCATGTTTTTGCCTCCTACAGCTTTTAATTTTCTATTGTAGAATCACTGAAACACGTGTCTGTCACAAGAAACAATCATGCATTTTGGTTCTTTCCTAAATTTATCATAGATCCTTTAGAAATATGACAATCTGCTGGGTCAAAAATATACATACAGCAACTTGACTTATCAGTTTGGTGATGTAGACAGTTGTGTTATTCAGATGTTCTTACAGCACGGCCTCGTAACGTCTCATGAGGGATTATGTTTATTCTGAACACTACGATGTGAAAGTCGCAGCACAGATGTGAAAAAGCAAATCAGTGACTTCAACAAGACAGAAAAGTAAGTTGCAGCCGTTTCAAACCAGCTACACATCCTGTAATAAACTGTGCAAACAACTGTAAGTACAAAGTGCATATTACAGTTGTGTGAGTGCAGTGATCAGGAAGAAACAAACTATCGCCTGCTGCTGAGAGACAGTTTGTCAGGATGGTCCGTAGTCAACCAAGAATCACCAAAAATCAAATCTGCGATGAATTAGAAGCTGCTAGAAAACAGATGTCAGTGTCCACAGTCAAGTGTGTTTCACATCACTATGGGCTGAGAGGCTCCAGTGCGAGAAAGAAGCCTTTTCTCCAACAGCAGAACCTTAAAGCACGACTGAAGTTTGCTGCTGATCACATGGACAAAAAAAGGCCTTCTGGAGTCAGATGGAACAAAAATTTAGTGGTTTGGCCACAATGACCAGAAATATGTTTGATTGAGAGAAAGTGAAACCCTTAACCCCAAGAACACCAAAAATACTGTCAAGTATGGTGGTGGCACTATCATGCTCTGGGGCTGTTTTGGTGCCAGTGGAGCTGGTGCTTTATACAAAGTAAATGGAATAAAGAAGGAGGAAGAATACCTCCACATTCTTAAGGAAAACCTCTAATCATCAGCCAGAAGATTGGTTCTTGGATGCAGGTAAAGAAATGGCTAACTTAGGCTAGAATCGAGGTTTCAGACTGGTCTCCCCACAGTCCTGACCTAAACTGAAGAAACAAATCTGTCCGAAAGCCAAACAAATTCAGTTGAACTGCACCATTTCTGTCTGGAAGAGTGGGAAAAGATACAGCCAGACACTTGACAGAAGCTTGTAGACGGCTACCAAAAGTGCTTTATTGAGGTGAAAATGGTCAAAAGATGTTTAACCAGATATTGCTGTTTGTATATGTTTGACTCAGCAGATTCTGCCATATTTCCACAAGATCTATAAAAGATTCATGAAAGAACTAAAATGCATGATTTTTGTGATAAAGATGCATGTGTTTACATTTGTAGGAGTCATTGGAAACTTAAGACTGCCATGATATCCATGGTCTTTTTAACTGTATGTAAACTTTTTTTCACAATTACACAATACCTTTACATTTTTAATCTGTAACCTGACCGTTGGAGCTCTTCCCTCAGGTACGGTCAGCTGAGCGGCATGGTGGAACCTATCGCTGGGTTGCTTGGTGCCATTGCTGTTGTTCTGGCAGAACCCTTGTTGCCGTACGCACTGGCTTTTGCTGCTGGGGCGATGGTCTACGTGGTGGTGGACGACATCATACCTGAGGCTCAAGTCAGGTGAGAAGGAAAAGGAGGGAAGAAGGTGGACGGTATTTTTCTGAGTGAATAACAAAATGAGTGTCCCTCTAACCTCCTGTTTCTTGGTGCCACCAGTGGAAACGGGAAGCTAGCTTCCTGGACCTCCATCCTGGGCTTCGTAGTGATGATGTCACTAGACGTGGGGCTGGGCTGACGTCACCATGACGACCAGGGAAGACCCTCAGTGGCCATGATGTCATCACAGTAATGCGGACCTCAGTTTTAAACAAGGGACCAAATGAAGTGTTTCTTTTGAAACGCTGTTTATCCATTTAGTTTTAATTGTTTCTACTTGAACTTCATCAGTGATATCACAGAGCTGTTTTATAAACCGAGTTGTAAGGATGATTGTACTTGAACATTTATCTTTAATGTGTAATTTACATGCTAGCAGTTATCGCCTAAGAGCAGCTGACGTGTTTTTCAATTGTCCAATATCTGATAGATGTTTCATGAAAATTCTTCTGATTCCACAGCTGGTGAATGTTATTTGAGACGTTGCAGCTTTTTTGGTTCTTTATCAAAAACGTTATTTTAAGCAAACTTAATTTCTGTTATGAAGTTAATGTGTTTTACTTTTTCCAGTTTCCTCATCATGGCAGTTCTTTGGTGCATTTTCTTTGTTCGACTGTCACCATCAAAATGAATGGAACGACAAATGGGTTCGAAAACTTTAATTATCTTTTTATTATTATTTCTTTTTAAAAATTGAGAACAGAACTTATTTCGCTTCAGAATTATATTTTAAACGACAAAAAAATATTAATATTGAAATTTTCTATTTGTGTGTTTTGCACTTGTATTTGCACTGTGGTGCCCAGAGGAGTCTAAAGCAAGCCATGGACTCAGTCACACAACTACACTAGGCCTTTGTATTATATAGCACATTAATACCATGCAATAATTTCTTAAAAGGGGAAATTAGCTATAGAAACCAAAACCATTCTTTGTACCCGGCTGTAAACATGTTTATTTCTGCTGTAAAGTTGGACATTTTACCATGGGGCTCTGTTGGGATTTAATCGCTTTTGAAACCATCCTCTAGCGGCCAATCGAGGAACTGCAATTTTTTTCGCTGTGGAGGTTGCTGCTTGTTGTATGGCCTATAATCTATGGCTCTTATTTATAAGTAATGTTCACATTCATCTCAAAATCCTCCAAGAAAAGTGTGTCCAAAAAACCTCTTCTATGTGTTAATGGTACAGGTCAACCTCAAGTGCAAAACACACAAATGTAAAATTAGAAAATTTAAGGGGTTTTTCAATGTTTTTGTGTTGAAACATCAAACTCTGAAACAACTACCAAAAATGACCAATAAAGATTAGGGTTTAAGAAAAGTGATCGAAAACAATGGTGATGAAAGTTTAAAACCCATTTTTCATGTGATTCATTTTGATGTGCAGCTTGGAGTGAATTGAACAAAGGACTGCTGCGATTTAAACAGACCTGCATGAAGGCTGGTGTGTGTTTTGGTAATTAATGGGACTGACTAGTGATTACATTTTGCTCACTTCATTCCTACTTCTGCTGGCTATCAGTGCAAAACAGCAAGGTACAGTTTGACTATAATGTGACTTTCTGACGCTGCGTGATCTTCATTGGATCGTTTTTTTTGTTTGTTTGTTTCAGCATCACAAACCTTTATGAGCATCGCTTTCAGTAATTTGTTGACTTCTGCAGATATCCTATATCTTCTTCTGTAACAAACTGAAGAGAAAAAAAAACAACTCTGCAATTCCGTCTGCTTCCAAATGTAGTGCCTTCTTCTTCTCGGGCACAGTCTCTTGCCATGTACAGGTCAGTCTGAGGAATCACGTGTTGTTGTCCATGTGGGGTTATTTAAATCGGTTTAACCAGATAACACTGAATTACACGTGGAATATTTATATAATTAAACGACTAAATGATTCGCAGTTTGCTTCAAGCTCTGATTTTTCTCAGTGTGTTTTCTAGAGCAATTGAACTTTCCCCCTGCAGATGACATCAACAGATCCTGTAAAAATCTAAGCTAACCCGGAACATGTGATGTAACAGTATTGACTTTACTTCAATGGTGACTTCCTGTCTCGACCTTCAGCACTATTCCATTTGTAGTTTTATAGTCTGTCTTGATGACTGTTGGAGGGAATGCCATGACATCTGATACAGACCTTCATGTTCCAACTTGGGCTTGTACCACAAAGCAAGTTCAACTAAGCCAGGATATCTTCTCGTTATCCGGCTTTGTTGCGTCTAACAATTGCAGTCTCACGAAACTGGTTATCAAAACATTAAAGGTGTCCAAGTGTATTTCATGTAAAAGCAGCGGTGTTGGCAGAACATGACCGATTGTCATCTGCTGCTTAGATGTGTCCTATTCTTAAGTCTTGCAAAATCATTTCAGCTGCATCCCTGCCAGTCTAAGTGCGCGTGGAAGCATGTACAAAACCAAATTTAAAGACATAAATCAAACCGGTAAGTACACTTAAACCTTATCAGGCCAATAAACACAAGGCTTTAGTGTCTTATTAGTCTCTATTTTAAGATTATAAAGCGATACAAAGATGTATAAAACAATAAAATGGCTTTGAAGATGCCTTCAGGGATTAAAAACTAAAGCAAGAGACTAGAGTTCCCTCCACTGATATCTCTCATATCTGTGCTTATCAGTGAATTAAAGGGTTTAGAAAGACTTAAAACCTCTTGCCTTCCTGCCTGAGACTGCTTCCTGGTCCAGGCCTTGAGATGGTGAATGAGAATTGCTCTGAGAATTTTGACCAAAATTGCACTCCAAGTGGTTTTACACACACTGGTCTCTGACCTTTTGGAAGTATAAAAGGGTTAACACTTTTCTGTTTCATAGGAGCTCCTCTGATATAAGTAACTAACTCGTGATGAACATGTGACAAGGTACAGAACCTCCAAGAAAGCTCTTTCTTCAGAGGCCCTCCAGCAGCTAGAGGGTAAGCTCTAATAATACCACAAAAGACAAGCTACTCGTTCATACATTTAATCTTTTGACTGAAGAATCAGCCTCAACAGAACAGCACATGGTCAGACAGAAGCCAATTAAAAAACAAAAAACAAAGACAAAGGTGACAAACCCACAGTCTGCAAATAAACCAAACACTCCAGCTGAAATAAAAATGTCATAAAATAATTTGCTTATCTACAAAACAGTGACGGGGAGTGGTTTGTATTGCAAGAAGTTAATGAGACTTGTTGGCATTTCCAGCTGCTCGATACAGTGGATCTTGTCGATCTTTCTGAGGTATCGTCGCACAGCAAGTCGGCACTGTGAAGTCAAGGCTTTTGGATTTCCTGGAGACGACAGGAAAAAAATAAAGGGTTATTTCATTTCAGCACATTTCTTTAATATGGTCTGACTGTGGCCCTAACACTTGGCATGTCTTTGTGTACCGACTGTGCTACTGTTCAGGTCAGTTATTGTTATGACTTCTTAGGAGGTGCAAATGTCACGAGAATATGCCCATAAAAAAAGTATTACACATGGCGGTTATTTCCTTGGAAGTAGCCTCGTCGTGCAGCGATGCACCGCTCCCAGTGCTCCTGCCACATCCGGAACACTGGAAGCCCCGGTATGTTGGTGTATCTAGCATCGTCTGTGACACTTGGTGAATCTCTTTAGTTGTGTCAAAACAGCGTCCTTTCAACTTGAATTTAATTTTGGGCAAGACCAAGAAGTTACAGCTGGAAAGCAGGGCAGGTGGGAAGCAGTGTTAATGAGTGTGGGTTGGGATGAGGGCATGAGCCTCAGTTCAGGTGGTTTGGGGCCCAATGTTCTCCCACAAATGTGCGCCTGCAAGGGGTTAGAACGGGATTCCCAGGAAAGGTTTTACAACTAGAATACTACTTCAAGGAGATCACATTTAAATCAGGCATTGTTTTTGCTTTCATAGGCACAATCTCAGAACATTTTGAGAAAAAGTACAGTAAAGCTGTGTTCTCTGTTAGTGATTGGAATAAAAAGAAGTGGGATGTTGTCAGTCATGTACAGCAGAAGTAAAGCAAATGAATGAAGGAGAATGCTTCTTCAGTGGCTACTTCTATCAATGATATGGAGGAAAAACATTATTACTGTGTCTTGCAGCTCTAATTTCACGTTCTAGCACAGATTGTGAAGATATATGTTTAACACTGATCCAGCTGGACCTTCACGAAATGGAAAGTGATGCCTGGCAAGTCAAGTATGCAAATGCTCAGTTTCTGGGTGTTACATTTCTGAATATTTTCTAAAATGAGTCAATTCCAGTCATCAATAAACTCCCACTGTGTCCTAGTTTACAGGAGTACCTTATGAATAAATGGGCAACACATTATTTATAATATACAAAACATTTAAAAATAATTTAGTAGAAAGTTTCCCAGGACTACACAGTAATCTGGGAAGTCTTTCAGGCAAATGTTTGACCTGCTGTGCACAAACTAAATCATCCTCGAGGTTACACTAGCAATTCATCTGAGATTTATTACATAGCATTATTATTATTATTATTTCTTAATAATTCAACCTGCTCAAAATGAAATGTTATTTTCCACCATCCTGTTAGAAATCCATCATATTACAGGAACAACCGCTGACCACTTTCTTTACCTCTTTCCCGCAGAAGCAGCTCCACAGCCTCGTTCTGCTTCGTGGACTTCTCGATGATCAGCGTAGGGAGGTAGACGTTTGCACCAAAGTCGATCAGAAGCTGGATGTACTCCACGCCGCAGCCGTGCATCAGGCACATCTCCAGCACAGTTTTGGGCTGCTTGATAGACGTGAGCAGCTTTGCATCCACGCAGTTGTAATCCGGATCCGCCCCGTAGAGGAGCAGCAGTTTGAAACACTCCATGTGTCCGTACACAGCAGCCAGGTACAGCGGCCCGCTGGACACTCTGGCGCTGGAGGTCCACAGTAAGACTTTGGAGCGCGAGTTCACCTCGGCGCCGTGTTTGAGCAGCTGCTTCAGTATCTCCACGTCTCCCTCCCGCGCGGCGGTGAGGACTGGGGAGCCGTTGTTGGATGAGCTGCCGTTGGGGTTGGCGCCGGCTCTGAGGAGAGTTAAGACACAGTCCAGGTATTTCCCGCGAACGGCTGCGAAAAGAGGCGTCTGGGCCTTGACGTCCACACAGTCCACGAGGGCTCCGTGGGCTAGCAGCACCTGCAGGCAGCTGAGGTGGCCTTTAGACACGGCGGCATGCAGAGGTGTGCCTGCGATGCCCCAGCCACCTCTGCAGTTGATGACCTTCTTGTAGATTTCTTGGCAGAGCATCTCATCAAGGAGTCTGTCATTGTTTTGTAACACTGCCTGTCTGAGCTGGGAAATTTCACAACTGCTTTCTTCTTCCTCAGAAGTCCTTAACTGGAGCATAGAACCTGCTGGAAAATAGAAATAAGACACAGTTTAGCCCAAGAATATTCATAAAAATGCCAACATTTTTATGTGAGCAAAAGTTTGCTCTGGCTGGAAATGCATTACATTTTTAAAGAATTGTATTTTTACTAAAAATACCATGTCAAGACTTATATTTGTACGCTTTTAACAATCAGTGACAAAACCTTTACTTGCCCTCATACCTATCAAAAGTTTCTTCACTTCCCTCTACAGATTCTCAGTGGATTCTGGTCTAGACTCCAAAAAGCTGATCTTGTTTTCTGCTACTCATTTCTTGAACATGGCTATACATAACTGAAAAACATCCCCATTCGCAGTTCTTGCCCCTGGGGATGATGTTCTCGGGACTGAATATGTTTCCTTTATTCAGCTGAAGGAAATCCACATCTGTATCTTCATTTTCATCTCATCTGACCCCAGAAATAATGACCAAAAGCTTTCTTCTTTGTCCCAGCAAGCTTTTGTCAAGGCTAGATGAGATACTTTGGGCCTGTCTTGGAGAAGTGAAGTCCTCCTTGGTCAAGAAAATGGTCAAGAATAGTTAACAGACATCACATTATTATTTAGGTTGTGTGCAGCCAGAGTTTTGGCCTGAATCTAATTGAGACTCTGAAGAGGAAATTAAAAACCACAGTCACGTGGAGAGAGGAAAAATAAAAACACAAAGCACTGGTTAAAAGTCATTCCCGTCTCTACCACGGGTCCTGACCTTCTTCTGTCTCTTGTTTATGTATTTTCCAGCCAAAGGAAACCTTTTGGTCTACTAAAAAAATCACTACAAATCAAAATCTAGCCTGGGTATGAATAATTTTGGGCCTAATTATATGTACAGTAACTTCCCTGCTGCTGGTAAAAATAAAATGCAAACTTATTTAATATTGTACTTTATATGTAAGTGGATAGACTGACAATGTTCTAAGTCTGTCTCAAACCTAAACTCAGCCACTCACGTGGACACTGCAGTGGGTTGTGTTTGCTCTAACCACCCCCAGCTGTTCAAACTGGCCTTATCTGCTCTTAAATCAATTACAATCTTAGGGGACAAAAGCCACAGTCCTCGTTCTGAGTAAAACAAAAAACATTCCAGAGTTTATCTGAAGCCTAAATAAGACTTCAGAGGACAAAACATATTGATGAGATACGATTGTGATCATGTCCTGCAACTCCAAATAAGGTCAAGTATAGGCTACAGATGACGGTGCACAAAGACCTTTACACCAAACTTCAGTCAAAATATGGACAATTGTATGTTTATTAGCGAAAAGGCTTAAGTACACACAAGATTAACAACAACTTCTGCTTTCTTATGAACAATGAAAGTCATCTGGGAAATTCGGCATGCAAATAATGCAGAAGTGACCATATATTTGAATAAAACGTTCATTTCTACAATTGTTTTCCGTATTGTTCTGCACGACGCATGATGGCACAATAACACATAAATAGGTGCATTTGTTGCATTGGATAAGTGCCGAACTATGCTGTTTTTATATCTGCTGCATTTACACATAACACACGATGTAACGTCGGGGTTAATACGCGAAACAAAACAAGAACAATTGAGCCCACATTCAGCTAAAACAACATTCGGTATATCCAATGAGATATGAAACTCAAAATGTTGGGTTGCAGTAAAAAACGTTCCCTTGCTTTTAAATTAGTTGCTGCACTGAAAACCAAGCAATTCCGTGATGTTTTCTTCGGTTTACATTACCTCTGATATGTCACCATCAGCTGCCTCCTTCTTCTCCTTCTTTTTCTTCTTCTTCTTCTGCTTCCTGGTTGCGCTTCTTCTTCGTTGTTTTTGTGGAGTGTAGCTGCTGCCCCCTACTGTTCATTAACTGATAATGCAGTGACGTCTGGAGAGAGTCAGCGGACAATTTCACACTTTCACTGCGTTTCATTAAAATCTATGAATTAGATTAAATATTAAAGAGAAGAATATATTTAAAGAAGAAATATTGTAAAGTACAACTTAAAATTGTATGCAAATTATCAAAACAATAATAAAAATGTTACTATAAAAAGGATCCTTAAAGTCATTTTTTTTAAATAACAAATTAAAAATCATTGTGAAATTATTATACATTTTTAAAATCAAAGTTCTATAGTATAGGTAAATGTCCCTTTAAAATGTAAATGAGTTACACTGCAACCCTGCTACTATAAGATATATTATTTCATCATCAACATGATGTACATAGAGGTTTTCATAATATACTTTTTTGGAGTCCATTTTTATAAATTATTTAAATTAAAATCTGAATTTTCAATGCAAAATGATGATGGCATATTTTTCAGTCATTATTTACTGTCAGGTTTTTTCAACTTAATGACCAGTTAATATTTGTAAAATATATAAAACAAAAAAGGCATTGTGGAAAGTGGCATTGTAACATAAAGCAGAAAGGTTCATTTGTTATTTGACATATCAAAACGTTAATGAGCTTTATTTCTACAGCACCTGTTGAAACCAGAGTTACCAGTTGTTTTTTTAACAAGTAAACATTAAAAAAAAAAACAATAAAACATTGGAGAATACATTTTGAATTATTCTATAAACATTTGTCTGTTCAGGTGAGGAAGCCTTTTTGACCTGAAGCACTGACTGAGATGTTCTGATAGTAAAAAGGAGCTTGTTCAACAGCACGGAAGCTTAACAGCAGAAGCGGCTAATGTGTGCATGCTGAGGGGCTTAACTAAAATGGGAAATATTGTAGGCATTGCTGACTAAACATAAGCCTGTTAGCTATTTTGAGCATGTTAGCCTAATGGCGTCAGCATTAAGCCCAAAGCAGCACCAAGTCGGTCTGTTTGATGGACAGTTTAATCTATGTACTATAGTCAAGTGGAGATTTCTGGCTCACAATTTAAATAAACAAAGAAATAGATAAAGTATATACATTTGAATGGAAAAGTTTTTTAACTAAAAGGTATCAGTATGAAACATCCCCAGTCTGTTACCGTCATTTCTACATAGTTCACAGTGATTCACATACATTTATATATGTTATCTGACAACAATTATATCAGAATATTATTCAACTCATAGGAACTGATGAGCAGAATCTAACCACTGATGCATGACATCCATTACAATCGACTTTTTCGCACAGGAAAAAGTGCCAAAACTCATATAGATTAAACTCAGATAAAAGTATTCACTGCACTACAGTTTTTAAAAAAATTTTAATTTAACCTTTATTGAACCAGGTGAGTCCCATTGAAACTGACATCTCTTTAACAAGGGAGCCCTGGCCAAGAGGGCAGCAACAAGGGTTACAACAATACAACACAAGTTAATCTGAGATTAGTTTGTACTTGTGCATTTTTTATAGAACAAAAAGTTTTAACAGATATCCCACAGCTGACAGACACATTCCCACCACCACCAGTCATTTTGAATGTATAACACAATATTTCAAATCAAGCTCTAATCAGATTCATTTATACATTATGTTTAAAACAACCTTGACCAAAGTGTTGTGCATGTTATCAGTCAGGCAGCAACAAAATGCTGTACAAACATCAAGACAGGACAAAACTTCCATTTGTAAAATAAAATATAAAATACTAATTCAGGTAAAACAGGATCACAACTTGTTGTATAAATGTCAAAGAATAAATATGAAATATTAAGACCATTAGGAGCAACCAAAACATTACTGAAAGCATGCACATGTTGAGGCTTTTCTGGAAAGTATCAATGAAGAGGAGCATTTGCTTGAAAGAGTAAAGCTGCTTCAAAGTTTTGGAACTGTTAATGCAAAGGCTTGATTGTTCTGAGGTTTTGAGGTAAAGGATGGGCTGAGGAGTTCTGAAATGGCTTCATAAACAAATAGAGTAATATTAAAATGTGTTCTTATTATTTTTTAGGTGCAGAGATGTAAGAACAGGGTTATAGACAGTGGTTCAGCAGCAATACAGAGAAGGCTTTGGAGGACGTTCTCTGCTGCTTGGAAATAATAGTCGCTGCAAAAATGTTGTAGTTGACATTTGAAAGGGTTAAGTGTTGAAATCTATTTATTTATTGTTTCCAAGCTCTCCGTCTGAGTCTTCTGCTCATATGAGGGGAAAAGCATCTCACCCAGAGGAAACTACAATGGTTTCTATGGCAACAGACTGACAACCCTGAGCTATGGTTGCCTTATCACTGCCTTCAACTTTATCTGTTGCCTCTCCAAGCAACCCAGATGGCATCCTCTCTGTTAAAACTAGCTCCGTTTCTCTGCGTCACACAGCCTTTGTCTGGTTAGCGGTGAGGTCCTGGTGTTAGTGCTGGGTCAACAGGCTGCAGGAGACATGACTTTCTAGAGCTGAAACAAAAAAAAATAATAATAAAAATAAGGAAATTCAGTGTAAGAAGGTAGTTTCTGATCCGTCCAACGATACAAAAGCAACTGTGTGCATCTGAACAACACTGACACTTCAGCTTCTTTTCAGCCATGCTCCATCCTGCTGCAGTGGCTCTGCCAGAGGTTTTACAACATGGTAATGAGCAGCGCCGGCCTCCTCTGTCCAGTCCGCTTCTATGGCTGTTGCTGAGAGACAAAGTAGAAGTCACCCAGGCGCTCGGAGAGAAGAGGCCTTTAAAACAACGACACCCCCATAACTCACGGTGTGTTTGCAGGGGGAAGAGAGCAAGTGTAATAGCAGTCAGAGTTGGGTTTAAGATAAGAGGGATTCACGGGAACATTAGATTTTTTTTTGTGCACCAACACGAGAGGGAGAATGGGGAGAAGGTCTGGTGGCAGTGCCAAGAAAAAGATGAGCAGAATCCACACATCCAGTGCAATGCTGGAGGAGGAATAAGTTCTGTAATGATCCCTTTTTCCTCTGGAGAATGCGATTTTGCCCTGCAGGATGACAGCCAGGCTTGTATCTCAGAAACAGGCGCTGCTCTGCATTCTCTCCGTGGTTTTGATCATCACACTTGGAGGTGAGACGCTTTCGTTTGTACCGAATTAAAACAGAAAGTAAAACTGGAAGGTGTTGCTTTTACAAAAGTTCAGAGTTATCTACAGAAACCCTGGAGCTGGATACTTGAGCTGCGTAACGACTTAAAGCTGTCATTTGTTTCCATTATTTTTAATTTTTAAACAATCTGTTATTGAAATATTATTTAAATTGGTGAACAGAAGAATGAAGGTGTTGTGGTTACGTTTGCAACAGGCAGCATTTAATACAGACAGTACACAACAGGATGAGTACAACCCTGTGCAATATCAGGTAATTGTCATATGATTCAAAATTACAATCAAGCAGTCGGATACTTGATGCTTTTTCAACAAAAAACTAACAGTTTAGATGTACTGTATGAAAAATACAAGCATCACAGTGCAACAAAAGTCAGTACACGTTGTACTACTTAGATTTTTTGCATACTTTTTGATTTTGTGGAGTATATTTAGTCCTGTACTTAATTACAATTTTGATGTACTTATTGTTGAGCACCGTCATTTTTTTACTACCTTGTATGTCTAATACACAACAGTTCATCACTACAATCATTGAACAGCTCTAGTTACTTTTCCGCAACGTGATTGTACTGTATGGTGTAACAAAGATACAGTAATATGTCAGTCACAGCAGGCATAATGAACACTTTACTTTCTATATTTTAATTACATTTCTCTTATAATTCTTTTATTTTTGCAGTTTTGAATGTGGGAATATTTGTACTTTTTCCTTCAGTGACAGATGTGATAATATCCTTTATGCTGCATTAACTGCTGTTAAAATATTGTATTGCACAGGACACAACATTAAACTAGAATTACTGGTACTGATGTATTCAGCTCAAGTTTCCTGATGAGAGCAGCTGGTGATTGGAAGTCCCAATAGTTAGTTTACAACATAAGCTCATAATCAACCACATCAGGAGAAATGTGAGCCTGCCAAACCTAAGGCAAACATGAAACATCTGTCCTGTAATGTCTGTTTATCTTGACACCCTGCACATAGTTTGGCCGTTTAAATAATTGCTTTCTAACAAGAGTCTACTTGATTTGATTTGCATGCATCTTAGTTTCATGTGGTTCTGGTTAGTTGTTGCTGTCAGCTCAGTTTGACTGTTGTCTTGCAGAGAATACTCCGTGTCCAGAAGGAGGTCAGATCCACCTGGCCAGCCTGCAATGCTATTGGCTCTCTGAGATGCCATTGTCATGGTTTGAGGCTCAGGATTCATGCAGAAAAACTCCAGGACGAAATCTAGCATCTGCTGACAGCCAGGAGCTGCAACATTTCATCTTCCACTCCTTTCCAGTGTGAGTCATACAATCAGTGACTATCTGCATCATGTTGTACTCCTCCTTATTGTCCATGTTTTAAAGCAGATGCATTCTATTTCTGTTTAGAAAAACCACTGTGTGGGTCTGGCTGTGGGGGTTAGGAAGAGATGGACCTGAGCAGGATGAGGTTGTGGAGCCGCAAAGCCCAGGAAGGTGGGACGGGGACGGTCAGCGGGTTTGCTCTCAGATGGCTTTGGGGGCGCTGGGGAGGAGGAGGAAGGCTCAGTGTGCTGGGCGATATCTGTTCCTCTGTGAAAAGGAAGTGACTGGTAAGACTTTTGATTCAAGGACATCAGGGGCTTGAATAAGTAGGCCAGGAACACAAATGTAGACAAAGACCAGGCAGACAGGAACAGTTTATTGGTGGTTTATTGATGGATATGAAACAGGAGCTTACCGGCAGTATTAGCAAGTAGGCAAGTAGTTATACTGGGAAACAAATAGAGAGGGCAAGAAAAAATCAAAGTCCAACAAACAGGCAGCGTAGGGAGCTGATGAGGAGAACCGGGTTATTGGAGACTGGACAGAAGACATCTGGTGGGTGGAAGTGATACATACAAAATAAACATGGCTCAGAGCTGAACTGTGACTGAAGGCAGAATGTCTGATTTCGTGTTGACAGTTATTGATGGAGACTGAAGCTAATACCACCACAGTTTGGTTTTATTTTGTCATATGGCTAATACTTGTATTAAAAATGTGCCTTTTGAAGTACAATGAGGTGATTTTGGTTTGTTCCTCTTCATGCAGACTCTTTACCCTCTATAGACAGCTACCTGACTGGGCTGGTTCTCATGACTGGTGTCTATGCTGTCAACAAGATACAACCTCTACCCAGCGTCCCTGACATCGGACAGCAGACAGTGGAGGTTTGTAGAGCATCAGCTGAAACACTGATTCTTGAACCAAGTGGTTACAAGATATATCAAAGGGGTTGCTACAACCATCGATTACATGTTTGTTTTTTTTAACTAAACTGCTGGATTTTTTTTAGACTTTCACCATCATCAAAATAACACAATCGGACAGAAACCCATGTAACAACATGTTACATCTCAGCAATTCTCACATATATAATGTTAGAAGCTAAACACATTGAGTATCAGTGGTCTAGCACAGTGATGTGGTTCCTGTAGTGTAAAGGGGAGGTTGCATAAAAAGATTATGTAGCACTTTAACTAATAATATATAAGTCATAACAGTATGATTTACGAAAAACAAATCAGCATTTTGATTCAGCTATAACCATAACAATCTATACACCGCTTAATCCTCACTAGGGTCATGGGGGGCTAGAGCTCATCCCAGCCGACTTAGAGCAAAGGCAGGGGACACCCTGGACAGGTCACCAGTCTATCACAGGGCTACACTTAGAGACAGACAACCAAGCACACTCACATTCACACCTACGGACAATTTAGAATCACCAATTAACCTCAACATGTTTTTGGACTGTGGGAGGAAGCCAGAGAACCCACTCTGCACGGGGAGAACATGCAAAATCCACGCAGAGAGATCCCGGTGTCCACACCTGGATGCGAACCGGTGACCTTCTTGCTGCAAGGCAATAATGCTAACCACCGAGCCACCTTGCACCTCGCTGTAACCAGTGTTGGAGGGATGTATTCTAAAGTAACATGTCATTTTAGTCACGTTACATTCGTCTGACACTCTAAATATGCAACTTTGATACGCAGAAATAAGTTTTCAAAGGTTTATTCAATAAAGGACTTTAAAAAACATCCATGTTAAAATCAGTTCAAATGAGCACATTTGGAACATGAAAAGTGGAGTAGAAAGGACTGTTTGAGCTCATCTTATAAGACTGGAGGATATGTTACACTTAAACAATGACTGACTCTGAAATGTTTCCCTACTTAGAGAAGTGGTCTTGTACTCATAAATATGTGATCACTGTTAATCTCATTATACTTAAATATATGAATGTTGGAGTTTGTTTGGCTGTATATCCTCCTCTAACTCTCACAGATGCAGCTGTTCCCAGGCCTGTGGTTCAGTCATGCAGGTCAGTTGGTGTCAGTGGAACTGGTGGTCCAGCCCAGCCCCGTGTCCTCTGTGGCTCGTGTCCAGATCCTCCGACCCTACTGCAGCCCCAACCACCACTTGGTACCACCAGGTACTCAACTAGACTAACTGTTAATCCTCCCGTTTGTCAGATACAGGAGGTGACAATCCCTTCTTTACTTGTCAGGGTGCAGCTCTCTCCTGAACCCATTCAGCTGCTGTTCAGCAGTACCACTGTGCAACACCACAGGGGGCTGCAGCATGGGCCAGTACTGGTGCCACCTGCTGGAGGCCTGCGTGCCCACCACCAGTCCATGCAGCCCCTACGACTCAGCAGCAGTGGGCCGAGGCTTTACTTTACCTCCAAGATACCCCGCGCTACCTCCTTTCTACCACCTGGTGGCAGATCTTCCTCTGAGAATAAACCCAAGCTCTCAACTGAAAACTCTGAGTGTGAGTTGCTGCAATTAATCCCTTATTCCAGCCATTATGGACCATATGGGGCACACAATTTATTTCACTATGTCATGTTTTTCCTCCAATAGCTGCTTCTTTCAGAGCAAGTCATCATGGTGTATCCTGATGATATTGTGGCCGTACAGCACACTCTTGACTCTGGAACATTTCTGCATTGCCTAAACGGTGAAGCCTCTCTAAACTCCCTCTGGCGCCAAAGTTACCTGTCCATTAGCGGGACGGAGTGGGGAGGCTGGTTGGAGGGAGGCCTTACTTCACTGCCACATGGGAGCAAATGGGTGGATGGGGTGGTGTGTGACCTGAGGATGCTGTATGTGGACACGCTTCACAGAGCTACTGAGCATGACGATGTCTCTGACTACACTCAGGCAGAGACAACCACAGCCCCTGATATTAGGCCCCCAACTGCAGGGCCTAATCCCAGTCTGACATCTAAATTCAGACTGAATGTCATCCATCCACTGCCAGATGAAAAGAACCAGATTCATGTTCAAATCAATGTCCCAACCCTCCTTGTTGTCAAGGCCCTGTTTGGAGAGAAAGCCAGGAGCTCGTGGTCGGCCCCAGTGCTCCAGACTGGGGTCCCCTTTCTTTCATCATGTCCTGAAGGGATGGTTCAATCTTCACCTGGCTGTAAGAAACAGTCCCAGGAAGCCTGGTTCTCCTCTGTGACTCTGCTGTTGCCATCAGCAGGGGTTCAGATGCTGAACATCAGTGTGATGGATGCAGAAAGCTTTCAGAATGTGAGTGTAAAGGTTTGTGGCTATGAGGCAGTGACAGGCCTTACTGTTGAGCCACACGGATGCCTGAGGATGCTCATAGACACATCACAGGTAAGAATCTAAAAGAATCTACAGCAAACATATCTGGCTTATTATATTATGTGATCAAGCTCGTGTGACTTAAAATGGAGGTTCTGCTTCTACTGATAGGAAGCATTTTATCAGCCATTAAAATTGTTTCAAGAGCAGCACCACAAACCAGGAACTGCTTACATCAGGGGCTAGACAAGACAAGATCAACTTAAACTTTGTTAACTACCACACACACACACACACACACACACACACACACACAAAAAGTTAGACTACCAAATCCAAAGAACCAAAATCAGACAAATTACTATTTGTCTCATGATCCCTCCCATTCAATGGTCTAAAATTTCCAATAGCCTTCGCAATCACCAACTGCTGTTTGCAACAGTGTTCTTAAATTGTGGTATTAAAACTCAAGTGGCATCGAAAATGAGACGAATAATGATCTTATCGTCTTTCCAGCAGTGGTCTTTGGAAGAGACCAATTGTCTCCTTGCACTATGGTCCTCAACAGAAATAGTGAACCTGGTAGTGACATTGTCATGACAAGCATGCTTCCACTTCTACCATGGCTTTAGTTTTGCTGACATATCGATGAGAAAGTTAAAAGCACATTAATTGGATAAGATGTGGTTTTACAGTGGTATCTTTTTTATGTTTTGTATTGTAGTCATTTACAGCCAAAGTGGAGAGTGGCTCCTCAGTACAATTCACATGGGTGATTGACAACCTGGAAAAGTTTGCCAATGAGGGGGAATCCTACAGTGTAATGTTCAAGAAGCCTGCAGAGTATAAGCTCCGGGTAAGCCCCTTGTTAAGTTTTCAGTTTGACATTTCATTTGTTTCACATTTTTTTCATGAAAACTGCCTGTAAACTTTCTGGTGAAGGTGACAGCGTCAAACCCTGTGAGCTCCCAAAGCCAGCAGATCCTCCTGATTGCAGAAGAAATGACACCACTGGCTGAACCAGAGTTCCAGCTCGTCAGGGAGGTTGTAGCTGTGGATGCTACTCATGTCTACACCATCAGGGTCAAAGCAGATATCTCTCTTCCAGTTAGCTTTAGGTAAGGATCTCTGCAGTCTATTTCATTTAAATGTTTTATTGCATTTTTTGTTATTATAAATAACCATCAGAGATCCTTAGAGAAGACGGGGATGTCATATAAATTCTACAACAAAGATTTAGTCTTGAAATGCGCTCATAAAAGTGTCTCTTATTCTAAATTTCCACGTGCTTCATGTCATGTAGGTGGGATTTTGGGGATGGCACTGGTAGTGTCGTCCACACCCAGTCTGCTCCATGTCTGACCATGGATGGGAATGTAAAACGAGGAGAGAATCAGGTGTACGTACAGGATTCAGTGAACCATGCCTATTCAGTCCCAGGTAAACACTCACAAGCTTTTAAAGCAGCACAAATCAATACTGTTAGTTTAACAATGGATCAGATATTATATGTGTGGAAGGCACTGCTTTTGCTGATGAAACTGTGAGGAATTATAACCTGACTCTGCAGTTTCGCTCAACTCTACTGAGAATTCAAATGTTTTCCAGCAACTTATTTTAATCTTACATCCCACAGCTGTTTGGTACCCACTTAACCCTTCCCAAGCCCATTTCAACACAAGCTGGCAGCTGCTTTTAGAGAACTGGCATGGTAGAACCACTGTTTGTCTGGCCAGACACATATCTCCAGCTAAAAGCTAATGGTGCTGGATGTGTAATTGGGCAGTTGATTGCTAACCAATTCCCCATATCAACTTCATATGGTTGTATTACAGCAGTTGTGTTTACAGTTTGCTTCTGCTGCTCAAAGTGGCCAAAAATGTCCATTAATATGGGTTTAATGGTGCTTTGAAATTTACAGTCAATTTAAGATCAAATTAACTTTGTGGATGTCTGGTTAAATTGTCTGTTTTCTGCTGATTTGGCAGGAATCCATACATCATTTGGAGATATTTTTCAACCTCATTATATCAGTCTTCTATTTTTTTCTTTTGAAATTCCTTTAAGATGCTTTGAAGTCCCTCTCCGGGAATTCAATAAAGCCCTAAAAACTCATCACTGTCTGTCAAAGTTACATAATCAGAAGTTTTTTTCCGTTAAAGTAATCCCTGTTTCCTGTCTTAAAATGGCTTTGATGTAACTCTACACTTTTGCTTCCTTTTGAAAGTGTGGCTCTATGAAGTCTTTGCCTCTCTCCACCCACCCCTCCACCACTCATTGCAGCTTGAGCACATCAGCTCACCTACGATCACATTGAAGCAATGTAAAACATCTCTGCTGTAGTTTTTGAGTAATTCAGCTATGCATATTATAACCAGATTCCTAACAAAAACAACAATACAAGAAGCCCAGGATTGGTTTATTAGGTTTGTTACATATAAAAAACTAGAAGCCTAAATCTATATTTTTGAGACAGCCACCAGCAGACTTCAGTATGAAGGTAGAAATGCTCAGTCATGGCTGCTTTTTTCACCATGATAAGTGTCATGATATAAAAACACCATATGGACATGTTAACAATATAAAAATCCTGATTGTAGTAGAAGGGGGTGTTTAAAAGACACTTTAAATAAGACTTAAGGATTCCCCACTTTGGAAACATCTGGTGGTAATAGGAGAATGACACTGTGACCGACTCTGTGCTGTGGTACTTACTATCCAATACATCAAAGTAAAATGGATTTTCTGTGTGTTTGCTTTTCTTAGAGGACTACACGCTTCATGTCCACATCTCTAATCAATATGACAACGCCGATGCATCCATGAAGATAAATGTCCGCCCTCAGTTAAAAAGCCTTCTCATTTCACCTTCCACATTGATGCCCCTCGTCAAACAGACTCTCTATCTGGAAACTTCCATTGAGCCCTCTGATTTTCTAGTTTTCTACACATGGGACTATGGTGATGGTTCCAAAGCTGTCCAAAGCACCCATCATAAAGTCAGTCACAGTTTTGGATCTGCAGGAGTGTACAACATCACAGTATGTGCCAGCAACACTCTTACCTCCCTGACTGCTTGGCTTATGGTGGTTGTAATGGAGAAAATCTCTGGATTAACTGTCACCTACAGTGGACCAAATGAAGTAGGCTCTTCTACACATATCAAAGCTGATGTTGTCGCTGGCACCAGTCTAAAATGGGATTTTGACTTTGGTGATGGGTTCCTGCAGGAAAATCTTACAGATGGTTCCATCGCCCACATCTATAAGTTTCCAGGGAACTATACGGTAGATGTAACCGTCTCTAATTCTGTCAGCCAAGCTCATCGGTCGATCAACGTTGAGGTCTACAGCTTGACTGTTAGTGGAGTTTTCCCAACAGAATGCGTCATGAGTGGAAAAAACATACAGTTCTCCGCTCTGGTGAATGGAAACGTATCCAGTCTGACCTTCCACTGGCTTTTCGGAGAGGATTCATCTTTGACTGTGGTGACAGGACGTTCAACAGCCATGCATACATTTCCAAACCATGGGATTTTTCATGTCAATCTGACTGTATTTAGTTCTGTTACATCTGTGGCATTTAGCTCAACTATCTGTGTTGAAAGTCCAATAACTACTGTTGAGGTGCAGTCATCACAAGATGTAGTGGCAGCTGGAGAAGAGGTGTGCTTCAGAGTGTTAGTTTCACCTGAACAAAAGACAGGCTACAAGTTCAAGTGGTTGAGTAACTCTTCTGAACTCGCTGCTGTGGCAGAAAACTCTCAGAAGTGTTTTGTCTTTAGAGATGAAGGTGTTGAAGAGGTGTCTGTAACGGTGCGTAACAAAGTCAGCACCACAACTGCCAAAGCTGAAATCACCATTCAAAAGCCTGTGAGTAAGTTCTCTATTGCGCACGATGGTCAAATTGACACCCTGACAGTCAATACGCTAACTACCTTTTGGGTTTTGGGTTGCACCGGCAGCAATGCGTCAGTGCTGTGGGACTTTGGAGATGGATCTCCAGTGTCGCAGAAGCAAAACGTGTCACATGTTTTTACCTCCACGGGTCAATTCATAGTCACAGCCACAGCCTTTAATGCTGTTAGCCGGGATTCCTCATCCCTCAAAGTGAATATTTTTCTCCCTGTTTCAGATCTTTCACTTCACACCAACCATCCCTATGCTGCAGTAGGAGAGGAAACTCTCATCACAGCAATCAGCAGTGCTATTAGTAGCACTAACTATTATTGGACAGTAGAAGGTATAACTTCAACCAAACAGGGGACTTATCAGTTTAGATTTACTTTCCCCAAACCAGGAGTGCATCGAGTGAAGGTTATAGCACAGAACTTAGTGAGTAAAATGGAGGCCGCTATTATAATTGAGGTCTTGGAAAGAATAGAGGGCCTGCAAATTGAATGTCAAAGCCTGACAAACGAGAAATATGTATCAACCCTCGAGGACCTGCTCTTTATTGCTACAGTCACCAAAGGCTCCAACGTCACTTATCACTGGCTTGTTACACAGAGCGGTACAAACCGACAAATTACAGGCGATGGAGAGCTTTTTCATGTGTTAGCTGAAAGTCCTGGCAGTATTTCAGTTCAGCTCAAAGCCTCCAATATCTTGGGGGATATCACCAGCACTGTTTCTGTAGTGGCAGTGGAGCGTGTAACAAGTGCACACATAGCAACATTATCAAACATTGTGGCGCTGGGAAAATTAGTTAACATCTCTGTATTTGTGGATACAGGGTCGGACCTACAGTACTTCTGGTATGTAAACACAGATCTCCCACCCTTGCAGACACATGTACCCTTTCTTCTCCACACTTTCACAAGCCTGGGTCAGTGTCTTGTCAGAGTTTCAGTTCAGAATTTTGTTAGTCAGAGTAACGACACCACAGAGTTTTTAGTTCAAGAAGAGGTACAAGGGTTGGACTTTCAAATCAACAGCAAGAAAGATCCATTTTACGTCAATGCAAGTGCTGCGCTCTCGTTTCATGGGTTCATCCGCAATGGTAGTGACCTGCGCTGGGACTGGAAAGTTGCAACAGCCAAACAGAATCTTTTTACCTCAACCAGTCAAACTTTTATTTACAGGTTTCTACATGCAGGAATCCACCAGGTGTATTTGAATGTCTCCAATAGAATAAGTTGGCAGGTGGTTTCACACAGTGTCACAGTCCAGGAGTCAATCAAAGGTCTTCTGCTGAACATTAGTAAGTCTTCTTTATGCATCGGGGAACAAGTTACAGTCTTACCAACAATCTCTAAAGGAAGCAATGTAACCTTTGGAATAACTTTCCAAAACAAAGACTGGATTCATAGACAGGATATTTCCGAAGGGCACTTTACGACATCAAGCCTTCCAGTTGGGAGACATCTAGTTACAGTGAAGGCTTTGAACCAGGTCAGTAGTGCTGAGGCGTCGTCTAGCATTATAGTAAGTGAGCGTATTCAAGGTTTTCGACTTGTTAATTGCTGTTCCACAACTTTAGAGGCTCTAAAAGCAATCCAATTCAAGGCAGACATTCAAAGTGGGTTTCCAGTCCACTATACCTGGATATTTCACTTGGGGAGGTCTGGGCCAACGAGACTCATGGGACAAAAAGTGACCTTTACTTCACCAGAGAGTGGTTCATTGTCTGTTAGCGTGCTAGCCAGCAATGGACTCTGCTCTGAGACGATAAATGACACCGTAACAGTTGAGTGGCCTGTTAAGAAAGTCAACATCGTCTGTCACTCAGAGAAAATATTTGTTGGACACAGTGTCAGGTTTTCTGCAGTGAATGAAGGAAGCAATGTGAGATACCTCTGGGACTTTGGAGATTCCACTGAAGTGTTGGTGACAGATTTAAGTGCCGTCAATCATACCTATTTTATTACTGGGAACTACAGTGTTACAGTCAAAGTTCTTAACAGTGTCAGCCATGTGTCCACACAGCTGTACATGAAGGTGGAGGACCTTCAGTGTTCAAGCCCTCAGGCCTCCCTGCTCCAGAGCGAGTCCACTATCTTCAGGTCTAGACCAAGTTTCTTCGAAGCTAGCGTGAACATTAACTGCTCTGCTTACAAAACTACCTATCTCTGGGAGATATACAGAGACTCAAATGGCACCAAAGGCAGCACAAATTTATCCGGGAACAAAGTTGCTCTTAAAAGTCAGGAGGATGCGACTTCACCTTTTCTCTTACTCCCAAAGCATGTGCTCGACGTGGGATGCTATTCCCTGGTATTTACAGTTTCCTTCCACGGAACTCCTCTTCTCATCCAACGGAAGACCAGCTTCACCGTAGTCCACTCTCCATTGGTAGCCGTCATCAAGGGAGGCTCCCACCGACTGTGGCCCAGCTTCAGTGACCTGGTCCTGGACGGATCGGAGTGTCATGACCCTGATGTGGAGCCAGGAGGAGAGGATACACTGCAGTATCACTGGGCCTGGATGACAGCGGTAAGCACCTCTTGATGTTAAAGCATCCACAGAAATTGTAGTCGTTGCTGTTTTAAAAAATGGAAAAGTGAAAGCAGCAAAAGTAGTAGGGAGTAGAATTAAGGCTTTGTTACACACTACAATAATACCTTTGTTTTCAGAACTCCACAGAGTCTCCTTTTGTAAAGCAGCCCACAGGGACTATCAGCAACAGGATGACTGTACTCAGCACTCTGCTGCACCCAGGCACAGTCTACATTTTCACCCTGACTGTGCACAAGAAAGGGAGGAGCCCTGCCTCTGTCAACCAGACGGTATGGAGTCATGATGAATATCTCTTGCAAATAAATAGTTCTGGAGAGCTGAGTAGTTATGAAAGACCTTGTCAAAGAAGCAAAATGAGTATTTTTGAAAGAGGATTTACTTACATTGTACCAGCAGCATCCACTGAGGTTTTATTTCTTTTAGGTAACTGTGAGTGAAGCTCCAGTGCTTCCTTTGACTGTAGAATGTGTCTCCTGTTCCGTCCGCTCTCCGGCTCCACACATCAGTTACAACACTCCTGTAGTCCTTGCTGGACAGTGTGAACAATGTGATGACCAGGCTCAGGTATTCTGACATTAACCTCCAAATAACAAACAACTATTTTGTCAATAACAAATGATGAAGGTGAATGTAAAAATCACTGCGTAAGGCCTGACAATGAACATGTGATGGTAGTACATGTGGAAAGAAAATCTATCAGGGCACTTTGTACCTTCTGTTGCAGTCTATCATATTGATTTAGACAGTTCAGTTCAATTAAATCTTAGCAAGGCTTAGTTAGATAGATAAATTAACAATGTAATGGCTGGATATTTGCAGGCCAATTAATATGCAGTTTACATATTAATTAAAGAAGTTCAGTATTATTTGACTGATGGATGCATCTTCCCGCAGTACAAATGGAGCGCTGAGGACCACAGCGGTCTGACCCTTGATCTTGATGAGCTCACCACCTCTACAGGGAGACATTCTCCTAATTTGGTGGTGCGTTCAGGTGTCCTGCAGCCAGGGCGGAGTTATACCTTTGCCCTTGATGTATCCCAGCCTGGCAGCGGGCAGTCGGGCAGCGCCATCTTGACAATACAGCCCAACAATCCACCACATGGTGGCCAATGTGATCTGAGTCCAGAGTCAGATATACGTCTCCTGGAGACAGTAGTCACATACAGCTGTTCAGGTACGCTAAAAGTAAATAAATAAATAAAATTGCATTATGTTATTTTTTAAATTTTTTATTCAGCTTGTGAGAAAACTAAATGATTTTTTAGCCTCTTTAATAAATTTGATTAAATTAACTACAACACAACAGCAGTAAGATAATTCTGTATTGTTGTTTTTGACTGTGTCCTATAAACATCTGTTCTCTGTTGGCAGGTTGGCAAAATGATGAAAGTATGACCTCTCAGCTGATCTATACCTTCCAGGTGGCCTCTTGCCAGCCCATCAGCAGTGTGTGTCCAGTGCTCACTCTCTATAGGTGATTACTGGACTCAGCTCACAGTTAATAATAGACAAATTATGTTTCTATGTCTATATTATATCCCTAGCTAAATGTTTAAAACACCATTCATAAGTAAGGTGTGTATTTGTTTTTAATCATAAGAGATTATATATCAAATGAGGTTTATTTTGTCTTAATTTTTTCCCCAAGGGGTACTCGCTCAGTGTTCAGCAGCCTGGTCCCAATGGGAAGTCCTGGCCAGCAAAAGAACATGTCAGTTATTGCAGTTACTCTGCTGGTGGAAGATCATCTGGGGGCAAAGGTCATTGCTCTAAACAGGTAAAAAATAAATAATGAAATAAGGCTGCTAGTGCAGTTATCAGGTGTTTTAGCTGCTATTGTTTTTGGTCAAAGTTTAGGACACATCATGCCCTGTGTCTTAAAGTTTAGTGAACTCTGCACTAATTCCTCCAATCCCCAGAACACTGACAGTTGAAAATCCTGAAAGGGATGAAGTTGCCAGTCAGTGGCTCAGAAACAAGAGCCAGACAGAACTGTGGGCTTTAGTCCAACATGGCAACCCTCAGGAGGTCGTCCCTTATTCCATTGCTCTTACCAGCAAACTCAATCAGGTAGCATATCATAATCATTATCTAGCTGGTCTCCACCACAAGATAACTGAAGATTATGAGCAACTTGGATGTGATGTTTGCTTGTTAATGAGTTTCACTCTGACAAACAGATGGAGTTTGAATGGACTGCTGTGGAGCTCATGGACAGGAGGGAGATCCGGGAAAATGTGACCCAGGCTCTCGCTTCCCTCCCTGTGTCCTCCTTACTGGATGTTGATCAGATCAGCTCAGCACTGTCACAGTCCACTGTAAGACAGCACACCACACATTTTCTCCTTTTAATTCTCATCTTTATATTATAATATAGTCAGTAATATTGCAGCCAGTAACTTCAACAGAGATGTTTTCAAACATTAAAGCAACAGTTTGACATTTTGGAAATTATGCTTCTTGGTTTTACGGTAGAGTTTGATGAGAAGCTTGATACCACTCCCACAGCTGTCTGGTAAATGTGAATACACAGCCAGCAGCCTATTAACCCAATTTGGCTCAAAGACTGGAAGCAGTGAGGAAACAGTGAGTCTAGCTTTGTACAAGAGCATTAAAATCTGCCTAATGACACTCGTAAAGCTCATCATTACCATGCAAAATCTGGCTTGTGTAATCCATACAAATAGCAGTGCATCATATATAATTTTCAGTTTTACATTAGAATGTGTTGTGGTGTTCTTACTAGAGTCTGGAGTTATCTGGCAACTGATCAAAATACTGCGGGTAATGAGGGAGACAATTGGAATGACCACAATAGCCCAAGAAAAGAGATGCTGAGTGTAACTGAAGGGAAAAGTTTACCCACAGGAAAGATGTCAATAGTTTATTTCCGACGTTCTAAATACTAAAAAATTCTGTCCATGTGTAATGATAATTTATCTAACTACAACAATGTGCAAAAAAATGTGTTTCCATGGCTATCGGTTGCCATATTTGGGTACTTTTGATGATTAGAGAGGCTGTATTTGTATGACAAGCATCCCTGCACTCAATAACGTCACCGCTGCCAGTGTCTTATTACTGACTGTAAAATTCTCTGCATGCATTCATATGGGCAACTATCTGTCTCTAGACACATTCATATGGATCCTGTTGCTGACTGATGGTGCAGGTATTTAGTAAACACAGAGTAAAGACTCTTACAAATAACAGGAAGCAACAAACTGAACTTTAACTCTTAGCCCCTTATCAAAAGCTGGATTACGTTTATTATTGGTGAGTAAATTAGTTAATCTGACCTGTTAGAGACTGTTTTCCTCATGTGTAAGTTTTTATTTATGATTCAGTTTCTAACAGATTTGAAATTGTAGAGCTATCATTAACAAGCCAAAACTCAGACTGTGTCCTTTGTGCTCTCGGTGTTGTTTGTGGCCCAGTATTAGTGCTGAAATGTAGAAAACACCTGATGTTCAGACTGTGTGCAGAACCTGTTTCATATATATGTAACAGGTTTTTCATAAATGAGGGTGAGATTTGTTTGGGAAGTGTGAGGCAGAGCATCTCTGGTAAAAGTGTGACAGTTGGCAACCCCAAGTTTCTCCTTGTTAACAGTCTTTGCGCTGAGCTAACTGGCTGCTGGCTGTGGCTTCATATTTAATGGACTTACAGGAGAGTGGTATCTGGCTTCATATCTAAATCTCCTTAAAACAAATACATACATTGCCCAAAAGGTTTTGCTGTGAGAATTTGAAAAATTAAATAGGCAAGAACTAAAAAGGCAAGAAATGTACCCGATTTTCTCTTCACTTGTGTTGAAATAACACCTTTTCTTTTCTATTCCAGGCTGTTCCCAGTGAGCTGATATGTGAGAGCTGTCAGGAGAAAGTTTTAGAAGCTGTGGGGAAGATGATCCATGTCATAGAGGAGCAGATGAGTCCTGCTGTTTTACCGGCTGTTGACACAGGAAGAAACATCCTTAATGTTATAGGTGCTGCCCATCCACCATCTCCGGCATGAAACAATCGTGTACTGATATGAAATTTACCAGGTGTTCTCTGTGTTTCCAGGTAGCACCCTGGCTGCCGTGTCTTCCAGTTCTCACCCGGCCTACTCTAGCACTCTGCAGGCGGCTTCAGTAATCGCCTTGTCAGCGCTGAGCCACGCCGGAGCCCTGATGCGCACTCTGATGCATTCACGTGTTCACGAGGAGGCGCCACTTTCGCTCTCCACCAACTACATCAACACGTTTGGTTTCCAAGGAGACCCCTCTGACCTCCTCTGCACTCATCAGTTAAACGGGTCCAACCAACACCACATCTCTCGCTCTTTGTCATCATCACCCAACGGATCTGAAAGTTCCCACCCGTGCCAGTTTCATATCCCGACATCGCTTACTGCTCACCTGAGGAGTCAGAGGTCGGAGGTGGTGCAGGTGCTGTTTGATGTCGATGGAGCTCTGGAGTCCAACCCTTTGCTGACGGCAGCCGAGCCTCCCATCTCCACTACTCTGGTTGCCATGGAGCTCAGCACTCCTCAGGGTCAGCCCATACCCATCCAGGATCTGGACCCTGAACAAGCCATACGGGTCACCCTGCCCAACAAGTACCCGGTGGAGCTGGGTGATAGGGGTGGAGGTGGGAGAGAAGGTAAAGCTGGGAATGGGACGTGTCTTACAGTAACACTCCCCACTGAAGGGCGACTGAACTTCACAGTAAAAGCTCTGGATGACCTGGATGAAAATGCTGGTTTATACATCTCCTTCAACTTCAGCTTGGCTCCAGGTACAGAAGATTATTTTTCTAACTCCCTCTAACCATTCTCTTCCATGACTTAACCACTACTCATCTGCATTCATAATTTATTACATAGACTTTTTTCTTGTTATACATGTAAACATATACCACCACAGACACGGAAAGACTTTTTTTGTTCGTTTAATACCTTGTATACAGTGATTACAGCCGCATTTGTTTGTTTTTCGCAATCACCAATGTAAAAAAAAAAACCCAACCCAAACCCTATCCCTCTACAGCTCCTCTCAGTTTTACACATACCTTTAGCATATTTTAGCTCATTGTTTTGCTTTGCTTATGACTATATGGTGCCCTGTGGAGTTTTACTGTAAACACAAAAAAGTTGTTCACATTCAGCGTTTATCATTGTGTGCATCCCTAAGGTTTGGCAAATATGCTGAAGACATTTCCCTCTCCATGTAACATTTGCAAACATATAACATTTCCATTTATATATAAACGGCAAATGTAGCAACCATGATTGCTGGTATATGGGATACTGTTTTGAAGCCTTGAGTTTGGAATTTGGCTGTCACAATCTTGTTGATTGTTGACAACTCGAGGATACTACGCATACCGATTGGTAAGCGACTTGTCGATCACATGGTAGTCCTACCTTAAAGTACACCCTGCGTTATCATATAGACCATAATTTACAAAATGAACATCATGCTGTACTGAAGGAGACTTGAAACTAGTGATTATCAACTCATAAGGAAAATGTAATGTATTTTCTAATGGCCAGCAGGGGAGACTCCTCTGGTTGCAAAAATTGCATACAAGTCTATGGGACAATGACCCTACTTCTCACTTAATTTTTTGCTTCAGTAAACATTTTTCTAATGTGTTCATGGTCTCATTAACTTGTTTTAAGACTTTTTGAATGCAGCATGGTATTTATTTTGTAAATTAACTATTCCAGAAAATATGCAGTCATGATCTACCTCTACTTCATCACATTCAGTTTCAAAAGACCAAGATGGCAATGGCCAAAATTCCAAACTTGAAGCTTCAGAACAGTGTCCATTATACAATGAGTTACGCCACAGTATTTTTGCCTTAAACCTGCAGTAACCAATTTTGGGCATTTGGGAGTACTGAGAGCAAGTTATGCTACACTGACATCATCACTTTTATGAGTTTATGTACGTAGTAAACTTGTCAGTAAATAGAGGAGTAACGTATTTATAGTAACATATTTTTTATTCAGTAAATGTCCCACATATTCACCAACTAGTGGCTAACTTTGCCTCTCTGCTACTTGGTCTCATGCAGGCAGTATACAGTGGGTTTTTAGAGCCTGTACAATGAAAAGAAGTTCTAGCTGTGGCCCAAAATTACATTATTAGAGTGGTGAGAGAAAAGTTGTTGGCCAGACAAATAAACAATGAATTGAAAGTTGCTATAAAGCGCCGAGAGTCAAGTAGAGCTTCTGGTGATAACTCTTTGAGAAGTAATTAAATGTATTTAATTTTATATTTGTTATAGAAATAGTGATTGTAGCCGATTGTACTTTGGTTTGCAGAAAAATAAGCTAATCCTAGTAGAAATGTACTACTGCTACTACGATAAGTCAGAAATTTTCACACATGGCTGCATGTTGCTTTGTTATGAATAACAACAGAATAAAGCTTTCCAACTTTTTTTAATTAAATGTGATAAGAATACAGTTTAAAAATGTATTAGTGTGCTGCCCTACTTTAATTTAATCTTGAATGCCTGGCTTTACATTGAAGTTTTAATGCGTTTCCATGAATTAATTACAGTTCAGAAGTTGTAGTGTGCCGATGACATCTCAGGATGTCTAAAGTCTTTTGCTGACTAATAAGAGTGAACTGTCTTAAAGGTCTAAACTATGCATCCCCTACATAATTATTCATTAACTATACTGTATATCTGTGAGTTTCTGACTAAATTATTCAGTAAAAAGGCTGTTTTCAAACTGCATTATGCATCTCTAGGAGCTACTCCAGTGAGCCTGGGACATGTCAAGACAGAAGTGAGCTGTGCAGTGCCAGGGTCTAATGCATCCCAGGATTCCCTGGTGAGAGAGTGGGCTCTCACTCTCTCTGGTCTGGCCAGCTCTTCGGAGGAAACTATCTTTCTGTCTCCACTGTGAGTCACAGCTATTTTCTGGAACTCAGAGCTCTGATTGCTTATTTTGATAAATAATGTGCTTCACATGAATTCATTTTCCTCCACAAAAGTTTGAATGGGATGGATAGGCCCCTGTCTGTCAACCTGACCTCAGCTCTGGTCGACGGCGGCCCCGTCCACGTGTCAGTGTGTGTGTTCAGCTCGCTGTGCCAGTACTACAGCGTGACGGAGAGGAGGTGGAGAAGTGATGGTCTGCAGCCACTGGAGGGCAGCACACTCCATGCAGCACAATGCCTCACCCAGCACCTCACCATGTTTGGGGCCAGTTTGTTTGTTCATCCAGGGGCTGTTGTCCTGCTGCCACCGGTATGTGAAACACACTGCACACATTGAAAATATGTCAGGTTGAGAAGGATATTCATCAACAGGCTCATCCCTTTCTCCCTCTATGTGCAGTCAGGAGGACCCATGCGGAACATGGTGGTAGGGATTGTGTGTGCCGTCCTGGTTTTAATTCACCTGCTGGTGGGGCTCATCGCCCACAAACTGGACCACTTGGACAGCCTCAGACTGAGCCAGCTTCCTCTGTGCGGCCGGCCGGGCCTGTACCACTACAGAGTGCTGGTCAAGACTGGCTGGAGGCCAGGGGCAGGTCAGCCAAGAGCCAGTCATCAGAACATTAGATGTAGAACTGGCCAAAAACATAACTGAATTTTAATTTTAAAATTTATGTAGCTTTTAAGTATATAAGATGGAAATGATTAATAGCGTGTTGTGACCCATCAGGCACCACGGCCCATGTTGGCATCAGTCTGTACGGTGTGAACAAGAGCGGCTCTCGCCATCTGCAGAGGGACGGAGCTTTTCAGCGTGGCAGCCTGGACCAGTTTCATGTGGAGACAGACGACAACCTGGGAGAGGTTTGGAAAATTCGCGTCTGGCACGATAACACAGGTACACCAAAACTGTAAAATTATAAAGGGGAATTATCTTGATGTTGTCTCTGACAGGATCAAGATAAAAGCAAATGAAGTGATTGGAAATATAGAAGTAGTAAATTGTTTAAGATATATTGTTTAAGACCAAATTACTTGTTAAAAATATGGATTTTTTTGAGTTTGGAACATCGTGTGAATGCAGCAGATTCCAGTGAAACAAAAAAGCGTGTGCGTTCGCATGCGTACAGTCTGTGAGTGTATGTGCAGGTGTGAGACATCCACAGTCATGTCAGCAAGCTACTGATTAGGCTCACTTTCTCACTTGATGTTGTCAGAAGTCTGAATGTGAACGTGGTTGACTATCATGTACGTATAGGTTTGGACCCGTCATGGTACGTCCAGCATGTGGTGGTGTGGGACCCTCAGACAGACCACATGTTCTTCTTCCTGCTGGAGGACTGGCTCTCAGTGGAGAACCAGAAGAACGGCACAGTGGAGAAGGAGGTTCTCGCCTCATGTAAGTTTAGCAACACAGAGGAAATAATTTGTGCTTTTATTTCCTCATGCTTGGACTATTACAACACCTTGCTTGGCTGAATGTAAGACAAAGATGTAGCGAAACTCTACAGCCAAGCTTGTGTCAAAAACCTCAGTTTTAGTCTCACTTCACTGGTTACCGCCTTGTTTTAGAATCCAGTTTAAAATTCTACTCATGGCGTACAAGTACACGAGTGAACTTTTAATTCTTTACCATACAAAAACGCCTTTCAGATCTGCTGGCTTCGGCTTGCTCGCTGCTCCAAAAAATCAGGTTAAGGTCAAAAGGTGACAGTCTTCCAATTAGTATTCGATTGATTGATGTTGTTTCTGCTTTTAAATCCTGCTTGAAGACACATTTTTTTGATTTGCCTTTCCACTTTAAAACTAAACTCTTTACATAATACAGCTTTGTTATTCAAACACATGACTTTACATTTTTCTTAATTGCATCACTACCTTCTTGATGATATATTTTGATAATTCAGTCTTAAAATTCTATACTTGCATTTTGTTGTTCTTGCAATTTGATGGTGCCTATGGAGAGCACTTTGTGTGCTTCGCTGGAAAAGTGCAATCCAAATAATATTATTGTAATTATCCATGTATCATGCTGTTTAGTATTCTAGAAGTTAGTGATTATACATCAGAAACAGACACCAATAAATCTGCATTGCAACTTTTTTTAATGGAAAAAGATGTCACAGGTGGTCTTAGTCTAGACGATTTGTCAATCATCTGTCACAGTGAATCCCATACAAGAAAACAATATTCAGCATCCTCTTTTCGTTATTAAGAACTAAAGGGGCTGTGGTGTATTTTCACCGATGTCTCCCAGCCTTTCCGTTTGTTCCCTCCAGGTCCAGAGGAGCTGACCCAGTTTGGACGGGTGCTCACCTCCCAGCTCATGTTTGGGATGGTGGAGCGCCACCTGTGGCTGTCGCTGTGGGAACGTCCCGCTCACAGCTCCTTCACCAGGGGTCAGAGGGTCACCTGCAGCGCCCTGGTGCTGCACCTCTACCTGGCTCTGGGAGCTCTGTGGTACGGAGCCGTCAGCACTGAAGGCCACAGGTGAGCCGATCTACAAACCTGAAGACATACTTTTGCCAGTACATAACATAAAATTTAGGATTTTGTAGATATAAACAAATTTATCTGTATATTGTGCAAGAAGAAACTCATTTCTGTCCTTTTATCCACAAGTGGGCCCGTGTCAGCTCATCTGCTGGTTAACATGGAGACGGTTGCCGTGGGGATGACTGTTGCCGTGCTGGTGTTTCCTCTCCAGTGTTTTTTCTGTTTCCTATTTAGAAAAGCTCACAGTCAGGTAACTGCAAACAGCTTCAGTCTACGTCAGTCACACCAGAAAAGAAAAACAGATCAGGTTTATGTTATAACATGAAAAGTTTCTTATTAAGACTAGATATTTTTAACATCATTAAAACACAGAAAAATCCTGTTGTAGCAAGACACTTTTCTTGATATAGCAATATGCTACTTATCTTAGTATAACATTAACCTTTTCAAGAAAAACGTTCACTTAAACAATTGAATTCAGTTCTGCTTCATGCCCAGACTGAGACATGGCGTTGTTCTGCAGTTATTGAGCACGATGGATGATATTCACGGAACCCTCCAGCTGATCAATGAGACATGACACTACTTCAAGGGGGGTCAAACTCATTGTTCCTTCTGAACAGGTCCATGCATTTTAAAACCCTTCTTTGTGTATGCATACTAATCATAATCTTACCCTACATGCTCAGCAGCAGCAGAATCTCAACCGTGTCCCAACTCAAGCATCAAGTAGAATCTAATAAAACTGTGCAGCTGAGCCATATTCTTTAGTTTATCCATTCTACACGCAAGTAATTTAAACAGAGTTTTATGAGATAACAAGATAATAACAATAACTCAGACTGATGTGTTAATTTTAAAGAAATTAGATGAAGCTTTCCTTGGCTCTTGCTTTCTAGATGTCATTATGGGTTGTGTTGGTCGTGCGTCCAAAATATATTTGTCAAACACTCTTATCACAGTGTGGAAACAGCGCAAAACTTAAAGTACACTCTGGCTGCAGACGTAAAAAGTGCGTCAATGTGTGTCTGTAACCCAGGTAACTGTGGACATGTCCGTTCCTCCCTCTCCCGTTTGTCACTCTGTGGAGATGGACGTCTACCTCGGTCAGTCGGAGCTCTCTGGTCCTTCCTTTCTGTCTCTGCCTGATTCCTCCGGTCCAGTCCGAGACAGTCCTTCATCTGTGAGACCACATGACCACACACACACACATAGTTATTATTCTGGCTCATTTCCTGGAATCACATTCCAAATGTTCCTCTCACTTTCTGTAGTTGCTGGAGAGCAAGGCGTTAAACTCCAGCATCCTGGACTTCTGGGCTGCCTCTGGCTTGGCGCCCCAAACAGATGGAGCATATCAAGAGAAGGCCGTAGTAACATGGCCCTCGTGTGACAGCCTCCTCAATCTACCAGCAGGTTCGCGCCCAGCAAAGACAACCCTCGCCCCCGACCTCTGCAAGTCTTCACCTGTGCAGGGCCCCACACGCCAGCTGAGAAGGAAAAAGGCGTTGATGCAGCTCCACTTGGCCTCACCCGTCTCCCCCGTCTCCTCCACTGCTCTACTCTCTTCCTCTTGCACATTTTCTGAGGACATTTCCAATTCTCACGTCTTCTCTGCCGAAGCAGGCCAGAAGTCTCTCAACGTGAACCCTAAACCAGTCCGAGTTTACAGCCAAAATCTGACAACGCTTCTAACTCTGTCTGGTGAGAAACTGTTCAAATTCACTGAAGGAAATCAGGAAATCACCAACAGTACATATGAAAAGTCTGTTGAATCCAGCAATTACTTTCTGCAAAATGCCATCTGATTGTGCATCTTTGCGCTCTTTGTGTCAGAGGAGGATCTGCTAATGTCCATAGCAGCAGCAGAGGACACCGCAGATGCAACCAACAGAAACTCAGACAGCGGTCGGGATTCCCCCAGAACCACGTCCTCGTTCTCAACCACGTAAGCAGCAGCGCCTCTGTGCAGTTCTGTGTTGCAGACAACAGTCTACATCGCTGTGATTTTGTCTCTTTTAGGCGCAGCACCTCCTGCAGCAGCTGGTCAGATCAGAGTGAGGATAAGTCCCTGTATGGAGCAGAGATCAGTAAAGCAGACCTTCAGTCCTACCCCTCTCTGTGCGGGGCAGGACTCTATAAGTGTCCGTCTGTGCTCTCTGTGGATTCAGTGGCCAGCACCTTCCTGCCAAGTCCTTCTCCTGACTCTACTCGCTCCTCCTCTACTACACGCATAGGTACCAGGCCAGTGGTTCCCAAATGCTGTTTTCTTCATGTAATGCGACAGCCTTGATCGATAAACTATCCACTGCAGAACCTATTTATTGCTGCCCTATTGTAATTGTGTTAATTTTTACCAATTTGAAACTAGATGTTATTTAAAGCTACTCATTTTCATAAAAGTGAACTGTCATTCATTAGGATGATAGCAAAGAATGAACAGATCAGAGCTCATCAGAACATATTTAGTTTGGCCCAAATGCAGGCCCATAGTTTTATAAGTAACCTGCAGTTAGATCAAAAGATCTGCTAAGTCAACTTAAACCGTGTGTCAACTAAAACTCAAGTAGGTTTTTCGCCAGAACTGTGTTTGAAGAACAAACAGAGGTCACTAACTCATCCGACCTGATTTCCTCGTGTAGATTGTTTCAGAGCCTCTAGGTCTCGACTGTAAACGCTTTATCCCCTTTTAGTTTTCAATCAGGCCTCTGGAGCAGACAACAGTTCTTTGTGTACCTGTGTGTAGCCAGAGTCCCTAAAAGTAATCAGTAACATCTTAAAATCTGTCCTAAAACAACTCAAATACAAATGATATGATCACAACTCTTGGTTATGGAGTTATTCAATAGATTGTTTTCTTTAAAGAAGTAAAAAAAAGCTGCTGCGGTAAGCTTGGCATGATAAGATCGTGTGAAATGGTCTCTGTGTCTTTAAAAGTTAAGACAGACCACATTTTTAAAATGCTTTTTAGATGATGAAAACATGATTGTAGAAGCTTTGTGGCTGCTTAAATCGTAGATTACTATCAAACCAGGTACTTTGCAACAGCTGGAGTCAAAACTAACTGTAAAATGTTCCTCCATTTAGCTAATCTAGTTAATCATTTCAACCGCTTACTTTCTCATTCCTTGCTTGGCTAACTATTTGAACTATTATTCATTTGTTTGTTTGTTTTTTTTAACTATTTCAATTTTTCTTTATAACTTTCAGAACATTATCAATTTCTATTCACTTATTATTTTTATTTGCGTATTCATTACTTTTAGCTAACTGGTTAGCCTTTATGCTACCGTCTAAGGTACACAGACATCCCAGACATTTTGTCATATCTCATAGGTGATTTATTCTTTTATTCCAACTTTTTATAACTGATCCTATTGACTTCATTGTTTTCTGTTTTATCAAGTGCATTTAAAACTACTAATTCATTGCATGCCTAGGGGACCCCAGTCAAAAGAATCTTTTTTTTTTTTTTTAAAGGTAAAGCATATACTAAGATAATTTTTATCATTGATACTAATTTTGTAAAATTTCACAAACCAAACAGGTATGGATACAGCCATTTTAGGAAGGCAGAGTTGTAAAGCATTAATGGGGATTGTATAGTTAGGATTAAAGAAAAGTATATATACAAGTAACTAACTTTCTAAATAATGATAGTCTTTATTTTCAGATGACATTAATTACATTACTTATAATGTCTGGAGAAGAAATAGTTAACTTTTTTTTTTAAATGAGGAACCCTAGTTGGTATTCCTTGTATATCGAATTTGTTAGTAGGATTTGGGTTAAGTGGCTTATTCTTTACTTTATTTATCTGTCTCAAACATTTATTCCTCTTCTTTTAGCAAAACATTCCAACTTCTCTGCTCACTTGTTTCATGCGTCATTAGAGCATGTTGTTAGCTGACGCAGTATGTGGAAATACTTAAAATTCTGATCAGAATTTCTGTTATCTCGAATTACCACGGTTGAGCTACTCAGCAATCTTCCCATGACTCCCCTGGGGTACAATTATCCCTGGGTTGGAACATCTTTATCACACTATGGGGGGGAAAAAATGTCTACAGAGTACCTGTTTGGTGTGTTTTTATTCACATTGGGTGATGTGATGTGAATAGTGGTTGAGATGTCTGTTGCTGAATTACTTCTTCCACTGTAGGTGTTGCTCGAGGTCAACCCAGCAGGCTGCTTCCTCCCTGGGCCCTTTGTGTGATTTACCCCCTGGTGGCTGTGCTGCTGGGAGCCTGCCTGGCAGTGGTGGGACTCTATGGAAGTTTCTTTTCCAGAACAGTAGTCCTCATGTGGCTCACATCCGCGCTCTCTGCCTTTCTCACCTCTGCTCTGTTGCTGGAACCTCTCAAAGTGAGTTCAAGCATGTGGTCCAATTAACTCACTTCTTAGATCTTTGGTGCATAATTCCTCCGATTTGCATCTTCCTCGCTCAGGTGTGTGTGCAGGCCTTGATCTGCACAGCACTGTGGAGGCCGGTGGATCCAGAGGTGGAGGAGCAGCTGGCTCAGGAGACCACTGTGGTAAGAGCATTTGGCGAGCATAGTGGGAAGGTTCGACCGCCATGCGGCTACGGGCTGCTGCAGGCGAAGGAGGAGGCCCGCAAAGTCCGAGCTCTGAGGTCGCTCATGAGGGTAAGAGTAAAACTCAACAAAAGCATTTAGTGGCAATTTGTCTCCAGAAGCATCTCCATTATGTTCCTTAATTTCCTCTGCATCTGTTCTGTAGCACTGTGTGTGCCAGCTGTTATTTCTGTTACTGGTGCTGATGGTGAACTATCAGGACAGAATGGAGCAGAGGCAGGGGAGGATGCTGCACTCCGCTGTCAGAAAACGTCTTCACACAGCACCCTTGGGCTTCCCTAACCTCACCTCACTCAGAGAGTAAGGCCAGCGCTCAGCTTCCTGCTGTCAAAACACTGAACCGTGCAATATACAAGCTCCAGCCACACAGTGCAAAATGTGGGGAGAGAATCCTGAGCAGGGGACTTGCTTGTCTAGACCAGGAGAGAGCAGAAACAGATATACTTTACTGCAGTGACATGTTTTTACTAGGGTGATCATATTTGGGTCTGCACATGACTTTTCTTGCCGAGCATAAGACTGCATTGTGTTTCTATATTAAGTCAGGAGCCAATAAACAATTCTTTACTCATTTTGAAATGATTCCAGTAGCTCGCTGTAATCTTCATTAACCCAGTGGTGAACTCAACACTGTACATAATCAAAAGCTGTGGAAAATACACTTTAAAATTGCTCATATGCTTTATTATTCATAGCATTTTCATTTTGCTCTGAAGCCTTTTCTTGATTTTAAAAACTCTACTTAACATCAAAGAACATTATTCTTGCTACACCACAAATTCCAAATAGTATCTCCGTTAACATTTGTTTGAAGTACATGAAAAATCAAATGTTTGCTTTTTTCCTGAACTTATATAAAGAAGTAATATAGTATGGTAACACAATAGGCAAATCAAGGGTTGCATTTGAAGACTACAGTTGCTAATATTATATGTTTGTCTTACTGTCAGCAAATGCCATAATATGATTAAAACTGAGCATTTCCACCTTGAAGCTGCAGTGTGCTGATGACAATCACAAACATACTGATTCAAACTTCTGGGGTTGGATATGTAACAAGCCTAAAAAAACAATCCTGTCAACTACAGAGAGGGATTTTATCTGTATCATTATTCCAATTTGGTTTCTGGTTTGAACATGTTTGGCTGAATTACTCCAATATAACATGTACAGTACCATTGTGTAACAAAGCATAGTTGTACAGTGTTTGAGCGGAGTCATAGGTGAGCTGGTGTGCTCAAGCTGCAGGAGAATAGAGAATGGCGGAGAAATGAGTGGAGAGGG